GGCACATGAATTTGGCCAGTTTTTTCCTGTCATCATCCCCGTGCGTGAACTTGGCCTACAAACACAGAGGAAAAGAGGGAAAACAAAGGCAAATTGGTAAGACAAAACATTACACAGTGCTAACCAAAAATATGTGCTTATGTGAGAACACACTTACGTGGCTGGCGATGGAGGTTCTAATGTCGGTGAACATTGGGCATCCAGGGAGCTCCATTTCCTTCCATGCCTCCTGGAAATATCCATTCAAGTTCTTGCAGGGGTTTGGTTTGTAGGTAAAAAAAAAAAGAACTTGGCATCCTCCCCGCCCGGCAGTTTGTTTTTGATTCTCAAAAAATTTTGTACCCACTCGTACTCAAAGTCCAGTAGGGCAATCTGCGCTGGTCCGAAAGCCTGGTTGGTTTTTTGACTGCAGACCTGATCACACACACACACACACAAAAAAAGGCAGTTAAGAACAGAACAAATCCCCAAAACATTTTTGTATATATAAATTACAAACACTCACGTTTATGACGTGCCTTCTCGGTGGTGAAAAAGGAGCCCCCTGCACCTCCTGGATTGTCATGTTTTGTAACACACCTCCCCTGTGACCATAAAGGGATGTCAGGAAGGCCGAAAAGTATCCGTAGAACCTCCACAGGTTTTTGTAGCTAAAAACAACAACAACAAAGAGTACAATCTCAGCAATTAAATGGCAAATCCATTTTTACAGTTAAATCCTTGAGAGTACAAGTTGAAATGTTTGAATAAAAAAACTTACCCAGAATATCAGGGATCGCTTTGCTGGCCAGCTCCTGGCACTTCTGCAGGGTTGCCTTGTTTACCACATGCTCCTCTTTCGTGGCCTTCACCGCCACTTGGTGCATTGCCACACTCCTGCCCATCGTTTTGAGGACACGGCGCATCTCCCGGCGCAGCCCGATGAGCGGATGGAGGCGTCTCTGCAATATAGTCCATGAACTGGGCAACATTCTGGGCATAGTGCCTAACAGTCGTCTCCTTCATGTGGGCCTGTCTTAGGGATGAGATCCACCTGCACACAGACCAAAAAAACAACAACATCAGAAATCAGGAAACACTCAATTCAAAGTAGCATCACATATGAAAACTGTCTTGAAGTGCACAGATGGGCTGGTCATGTACAGAATCAGCTTTGCAGCAATAACACAAAATTTCAAAAAAGAATCCCATCAGAAACCTATTTGGCAGCATTACAATACAGCTGTTAAGTGTGCGTCATTAGGCTTCAACTTCGGGACCACGGACAGCTCCGTTTTACTGGTTAAACAAACTTTTGAGAACACAAGAAAAACAGAACTTGGCCGTGTATTCTGGACATTTCATTCAGAAAGCAGACTGGTGTTACATGTACAATTACTTTAAATTATCAGCACGCCCCTACTAGAATATTTTTGAGTAAATCACTGTAATTCCATGCACTGTTACTTTAAAATTTACTAGTGAAGGTCTGCAGGTATAATTTCAAGTAATCCACTGTTTTTACATGCAAAATTATTTAGTTATACTAGCAGTCTCAAGTATACTTTCAAGTAAGACACAGCGCAGTGATTGTACATGCATTAGATAGTGACTTAATTTAAATTATACATTCAGGTCTCTAGTATATTTTCACAAGAAGGTTGGTGAGGTTCGTCTTGCCCTCTGACATATATCCAAGAAATTTCTTTTTCCGATAAATCTTCCCGCTCACATTTTCCCTCATCTTGTAAGTTGGATCCAGGCCTTCTTGTTGCCTCCTATATTCCTCCAGCAGCGAATCTGCACACAAAGAAAGAGGAAAATAAAGAGACTGTCAGCACAGTCACAGCCTTTCATAAAACATTTAACACACACATATATTTTTTTTCTTTCTTTTTTTACAAAACATTTATCAAAACAAATGTTTAAAACCGCGCAAATGTGTGTATGTATATATATATAAATGTACCAAATGCAATGTATAATATCGATGTTACAAAAAATCGAATACAAAATATAATTATGCATTCACCATAGTATATACAATATACTTAATATTAATATAAGAATAAATCCAATGGTCATGTACTATACTATGAACAGAAACTGTCCATTCATAACACTGAAAGATACATATAAACATTATAATAGTACAAAACTCTATTTTTGACATGCCCTCTAGTATGTGTGCCAGGGATTGATCTGGCACCAGAAGCCAAGACATCAGGATCTGGAAGGGGACCTAAAGAAATAAATACAAACTATTAGTCTTGAACACATTAAGTTGTAGCTATGTACACGTACGCAAAACCACACATAGAAACAGAGTTGTGTATCACCTGTGTAAGCCTTGTATAGGGTAGACTTCCCTACTGATTTGGGTTTCAGGACAACAAAACCAAAATCTTTTTTCAGCACAAATGGAACTGCAGATAATACTGCCAGCTGTTTGTTTACGTCCATTTTCGTTTTGGTACAAGATCTCGCGCGCAGTAGAGTTATCGCGATATTTGCCCATCATAACTCCCCAAACGTTCAGTGTGTCTCTTCTCTGACCGTCAAAGATTAAAATCTGTGATTCATGTGAAACTCATTTACCTTTTCAAGAGGTACGTCCCGGGGGGAGGGAGGATTCAGGCCAATAAAACGGCTCCAGAAATTTAGTACTGAAGGGAAGTGCTGGTTGCGTCGTGCGACTGCATGTACAGCACTCTTGAACCTGACCAATGGCTTCCTCTGTCAATGGCCTCCATCCGCTACTGCTATCGTAACACCGTACTTGATACTTTTGTCGCTTGAAAGAGAACTAACAGATAATTAGGATTATGACATTTTATAAAACTGTTAGTTCCAGTCCTTGATTCTGATTGATCAATAGCTGTTTATTCACAATAAAACACGGCTATGACCGCTTCACACAACGGTTCTATGTATGGTGGAAGCAATTTAATATTTTCAATATGTTTGCATTTAACTATATTTATAGAATCTTAGAAATATGATGGTAATTAGATTAATGTAGTGTCGATACATATCCGTATGAATATATGTATGTGTATGTCCTTGTATATGACCTGACAAAAGTTAATGTGTGACTAATTGTATGACCGAGACAGAGAGTCTCCATTCAAGGGTATACTATGATTAAATATGATATCCATAACTAACACCTTTTTTAGTTTTGGCTAAGACATATCTTCATTTAGCCTCAAGAAACAACCTTGGGGGAGGAACAACTATATAGAAGGAAGGATGCCCCCCACTCGTGGTCACACTCTGCAGGCACTTTGTATGATTGTTGACCTTTCCTTGCAAGGGAATAAATAATCTTTAAAGACAATTGATCATGTTTGTCTCTTATTCAGTGATGTAAAATTGTTTGCCACCACAGTATCACTACACAACATCCATAGTAATCACTCTTAGCAACATAAACATATGTTTGTTCTCATTGATATAGTTTATTGAATATTATAGAGTATTGGGAGAGATCAAGTAAGCGAGTGTACCTGCATTTACAGTAGATATAGCATTTTCCTTCAGCTCAGTCCTATATTCGTAATAATAAATCTGTTTGAATGTCTGCTTCAGCTGTGTTTTATTCATGATACAGCACAGCTTCTCGTACTTTATTGCTTACATCAACATCTTCAATTCAAAACCCATTAATTAATAATACACATTTTGATCAAATGGACAAAGTAATGATATATGGCCTGCTGTAGAATTGTTCTTTTCACCACAGGTTTTTATATACAGGAGACTGAGTGATATGTTGTCGTGAATTTATATAAAGTTACATTCAGATATTGACCATATTTAGCTCATAAGACACACAGTGTTACGGCCGAAACTGCAACACAAGTGAAGACATCACAACATGGCTCAATCTTTAGGGGATTTGTTACAAAAAGTGATGTCGACAACACGAAGAGAAAATGATCCGGAGTAAGACACAACAAGTGAGCACACAGAACCACGCAGAACACCACGCCCGCCCAACAGATTTGGCCGCTTGAACTTCTTATGCCAAACGTACATGATCCACAGGTGCCGGCCATCAGTCCCTAATAAAGAAAGACACAAACAAGAACATAATCTAGAGGACAAACAGAGCAAAATGAATCAGAAATACATGCACATGTAACACAGTGTAATCATATGAACCCTCAATAAAATTGGTTGTCCAACATATCATTTTATGGAGACAAACACAATTCATCCCTTTTCTAAAATTCCAACGGCCATTTAGAAGAAAAAGACAATATTGTTGTTCACAAAAATGTTATTTTGGTAGATGACAAATAAGGGTGAAACAGTTTTTTTTAAAAACAAAGTTCTAAATTGCTAGCCTGACTTCGTCATACTCATATTCTAGTCAGAATGTGAGTCTGATACTGCTTCATAGGGCTGTGATTATGAGGCGTGTCTTAACCGAACCAGGGAGAAAAAAAACCTCTGCACTCAATTGGATAGACCTACAACCAATCAGAGCAACGCAGTAAGTGACGTTTGTTGAGCTACGCATAGTTGTCAACAGAACTCAACTGCACGCACGCTGGAAGAAGTAGTAAAATAATGTTGCTTCTTTTACTTGGTCCTCCATGAGTGTAACCAAAGGAGAAACCACAACGACCACAGGGCTTTCATTGCGTCCCATCTTCTTAGCGGCCATCGGAGCCAGCTGATAAAATAAACTTTTGCCGAATCCCGTGGGATGCCTTGATTGCAGTTCTCTGTTCGTCTTTTAAAGGCACAATATGTCATTTTTTTGCTTAAAAAATATAAGAAATCACTATATCTATGTTATATTTTTTTTAAAGTTGTGTATTTACATTATCCCGACAGTTCCAATTAACTTCTAAATCCAGAGAAATTAATATTTTAATTCGAAGACACGGACCGTGTCTTTATTTCCGTTATGTCGCCCGTCTATCCGCGTTTGCGTCTTCCTTCCTGTGGAACTCGGCGGAACCGCCAAACTCAGAGGAACACTGACAGTGTAAGGGGAACACCCGTATTAAAAAGTCTGTGTATGAGAATGGATCATGCCTACTCTTTGCCTGTACGTTCTGCCAGCTCAACAAAGCGCAAACGTACGGGTGAAAAAAATGACCCGAGAAGATTTTGGGACCATAGAAGAAGCAAGAGACGCGTAAACCTGGGAGAAGCCTTTGAAAGATGGTGAAAGCTTCGTGACAAGCTCGCATTGCAGAGAGATGCTGATCTCGCTTGCGTCTTAATAAACAGGTAAGTTAAGTAACCATTCAGCTAACATAATAATCGTATAATCATAGCATAATGTATGTTTGCATATTGCATTGCGATCTTGACCACATTGAGACGGGTTTAGCTGAATACGTATACATCTTGTATTGTATGGGCGTTTCAAACAGGCGGATCCATTTGTTTTGGGAGACTGAAACTATTTTTTAAAAACTGATTTAAAAGTATATTTCTATCCGTATATTTGGTGACACGATGTGTAAAACGCAGATGGATTGGTTTTATATCTAGCTGGAGAAAGTAACGTTAGCTTCATGGTAACATGTCTCTTGTTCAATTAATGTAAGGTGACCGTCACTTTTATCACCTGTTAAAACGAGCTAAATATAATATAATATTGATTTTGATCCCGTCCTTCGGATGAGACGTTAAACCGAGGTCCTGACTCTCTGTGGTCATTAAAAATTCCAGGATGTCTTTCGAAAGAGTAGGGGTGTAACCCCGGCATCCTGGCCAAATTTGCCCAGTGGCCTCTGTCCATCATGGCCTCCTAATAATCCCCATATATATATATACACACTGATTGGCTTCATCACTGTCTCCTCTCCACCAGTAAGCTGGTGTGTGGTGAGCGTTCTGGCGCAATATGGCTGCCGTCGCATCATCCAAGTGGATGCTGCACATTGGTGGTGGTTGAGGAGATTCCCCCTTCCATGTGAAGCGCTTTGAGTGCCTAGAAAAGCGCTATATAAATGTAATGAATTATTATTATTATTATTATTATTAATAATGGTCTGGTAATTCATATATCTCTGAGTTCCAAGATACATGTTTATTAGAATACTAGATTAGAATGACTGATGAACGTGGGGAGCGACAGAGCGCGTGTTCCAATGAACAGCGTATTGCTGGTTCTCTCACTCACTATGTATTATGGGTTGGTAGTGATAAACAAAATTGAAATTTATTTCCTTATTGAACAGTTATGAAAAAGCAGGTCCATCCACATCAACTCCAAACAAAAGACATGGAATGCCCTTTCAAACTCTCTCGACCATTCATACATCCAGTGAGTCATCATCACATAGGTAAGGTTATGGATAAGTCTTATTATATTACTTTTCCAGTTCGCTACATATGAAAATATAACAAATAGCTGTTTTTTGTTGATGTTATTTTAAAGAGAACACTGCTTTCTGGAGCCTGATATTGAAGAAATTTCCATTGCTGAACTAGAACAGGCGCTGGATGAAAGGTGATTTAAAAATATTTTATAGAAGTAATAAATTGTTACTTTATGTAAAATTCATAATTGGAAATTACATAAAGTCCTTTCACATACAATCATGTATTAAAATTTCTTTATGAACACAAATTACATAAATAGCATTTGTAGTGCAGATTATGTTTTGCAAAACTTGAACACATTTTTTAATAAAATGTTATAATTAATATTTTTGATTATAGTTTTTCTAAAATGAGTGTTCATGATGAGTCAACCATTACCCTGAAAGAAGACGCTAATGATCTTCAAAACACAGTGTAAGTACTATTATAATCCATTATTTAGATATTACTCTTGTTTTATACCCATGATGAAAGCTCTCAATATTTGAAACTGAATCCTCTTAATAAACTCACCCTTTGTGTAATTTTATGTTTGATTAATTTAATTATGTATTTGTCTTTGTACCTTTTTTATTTTCAGAATTGACTGGAGAGATAAAGATGACGATGCTGCTTTGGAATCAGCAAGTGAAGATAGTAGTTTGGATGATGACTACATCCCATCTATTTGTATGAGGTTTGTTCATAGGTTTCATCATAGTTTAAAACTCTTGTGTGATTGCGAATGTACATTCTTGGATCAATGGCAAGCTATACATAGACTGTATGTTATTCCTTCTAGTTGAATGGAATAAAAGTGAAACAATTTAGCCTATATATTGTATATTTTGCTGTAATGCTGTGTTTATAAAAAGTTAATTTTTTACTGATATCTTAAAAAAAAAGAAATCAATTTTCCAAAAAGTAAACGCATGTTAATAATGCATAATGTAATAATTTGTTTACAATGACAGAACTGGTGGAGGAAAAAAAACATTGGAAATGATGGAAAAGCTTCCATTCATCAGCCTGGAAGAAACTGTACTACTTTCCACTGAGAATGATGTACCGCCCCAAGAAGAAGATTTGGTCACGTCACCGTCTAGCTTACAGGTCTTGTGTGAGGATGATGTAATTGGACAGAAGGCATCAATAGTGTATGAATTGAACTTGAAACAGCTGGTTACGTGTCTAAAGCTGCCTGTTTTGAAATGCAATTTCACTGACAATGTGACAAATCAGGCTTGCCAGGCTTCAGCACCATTTGAAGTAAATCTGACTTCAAGAGGCACAGGAACAATCATTGAATGGGTGAGTCTAAAAGTATCTACATACCACAACAACGTATACATCTACATTAGTTATTTAACTTTAATTTATACAAAAAATTGGAGTTTGAGTTTGTCTAATTATAATATTGTTTTAATATTTTACAGATATGTTCCAATGGACACAAAATATGGAAGTGGAACTCCCAGCCCACACTGAAATATGGGATCCAGGCAGGGGACTTCATGATGGCTACAAATGTACTACTGTCTGGGAATAACTACTATAAAGTTTCCCACCTGTTCAAATACATGAACATGGGATTTGTTGGGAAGGACCTTTTCTTTAACATACAAGACACCTACTGTGTAGGAACAATCAAGGAATTTTGGGAAGTGAAGAGATCTACAGCGATCCAACGGCTGCAGGATAAAGACAGTGTTGTAGTGCTAGGTATGTCCCCTGTCTTCTTGAAAATAATTTCATTTCAAACTATATTGTTGTATGTAATATCCATAATTCATGATTTAGTTCAAATTTTTTATTTTATATATACTTTTCTTAAAGTACAATGTTTCTAATTCATTTTGATCTGGTTTTTATTTTATCCTGTCTTGAACTTTTTTTCAGTTTGTCATCGCATTTATCATTTAGAAAGGATTTTTGTTCTTGACTTTTACAGCAGATGGAAGAATGGACAGTCCAGGACACTGTGCACAGTACTGCACCTACACAATGGAGAACGAATCAAAGGAAATCATATCTGTTGTGACCATTGACAAAAGGCAGACGGATCGAAACTCTGGAATTATGGAAAGAGAGGCTTTTGTAAGGACCATGGACAAGCTTCTAACTGAAATAAAGCTCACAGAAATATGTACGGATGCTCACAGTCAGATTTCTTCTCTTATGAGTAAGTACGGTATTTATTATTTACTAAATAAATATATAATCTTTTGTTTAGTAGATGTGGATGTTTTTTTTTTTTTCTATTGCATATATTTGCTTCAAAATAACTTGTTTTTGTTTTGTTTACAAGATCCTAACTCTGGTAGGTACAAGGAATCAGGAGTACTTCACTCATGGGATATGTGGCATGGTGCGAAGAATCTGGCCAAGAAGATCACAGCAGTGGGTTTTTATATTTTTAAAGTTTCCACCTGGACATGTGAACATATTTTTATAACATATTCTAAATATTTTTTTTTCATACTGAGGCAGGACAGCTGTCAGGGCAAAAAATACTTTTGAAGTGGACCAAAGACATTGTTAACCACTTTTGGTTCTGTTGCAAGACAGCAGAGACTGATGGGCATTTCCGGGTAAGTAATACACTTAAAATTTTATTCCACATTTGTATAAATAACTACATAAATGATGTTTAGATTTACTCCAATATTGTTAACTTTTTTGAGGAGGCCTTTAAAAAAAAAAAAGTTTAATCATATGGCTAGAATGAAAATAAACAAACCTGACCTTGATAATGAAAATGGCTCCAGATTCGTATTCTGAAATAACTTTGTAAAAAAATAATGGGCAGTGTACATAACACATTTATTTGCAATTAAAAAAATGTGTATACATAACAGACTTGGAGGTATGTATTTAATCTTTTGACACTCGTCCACAATTACATCAGAGAACACTAGGTACAACACATTAACATCTAACCTTGTTTTGTTTTACACTGTCTGATCTAATCTGCAACTATTTCTTGTAGAAACTCTGGAGCAGTGTGCTTCATCATGTTACCAATGAACACACATGGTACCTTGGCCAATGCTTGCATGATTGTCTGGCAGAAAACCATGAGAAAGAATGGCTGGAGAGCAGAAGTGGAAAGTAACGAATTACATTTACTCGCGTTACGTAATTGAGTAGATTTTTTTGTGTACTTCTACTTTTTTAAGTAGTTTTTAAAATCTGTACTTTTACTTTTACTTAAGTACGTTTTGTTTGAAGTTTTGTACTTCGCTACATTTGAAATCATATCCGTTACTGAGTAAAAAATAATAATACAAGGGAGAACAAAAAAAATCACACTCTGGAAACTACTGCATTGATTGGTTGAAGGGCGGGAGAACAAACGCGCAAGAAAGGTGACGCAGACCCAGCTGAAGCTGAAAGCGCCCTCGAATTATTATGAAGCGAATTATGGCCAGTATGGAAATACTTAGTAGAAAAAACGAGTGGTTGTCCTCGAGGATAGATATCCAATTTGCAAAAAATGTGGACGCAAAGTGGCTGCAAAAAGAGGATACATAGGACACCATCCCTCCTGCAGATAAAGGTATGTCCCGATTATAACTTAAGGCCGAATGATTTACGTGATGCAGAGGGAATCCCGGAATCCAGTCATGAAAATGGAATTCACATAACGCAGATGTCACGTAAAACACGCAAAATAACGGATGGATGAATACATGGAAAGTAGAACTGTGCAATAAATCCAATCGCGACATGGTCTGTGAATAGTTAAGCACAAAAATACTGCATGTAAATATATAACATATTTGTTCTGCTGAGCTGCGCCGCTTTGTCTAGGCTACTAACGTTACATACTCAAGTACGTTCATGGTGTTTTCAGCGTCTCACAAACAATTTGAGGACATGAATACATGAACATTTCCAGAGCTGCTCTGAGAGAACGCCTAATGAGCATTTTCATAATTTTATTTGAGAAAAACCATTGTCAAATACACTTTGAAACGGGTCTTCTTCACTACAACCTGTCAAAATAAAAGTTCGGAGAAATTCTGGGCATACAATAGAACGAACTTCTCAAAATAATAATAACAACAATAATACATTTTATTTAAACATTATTTAAAGGAATATATATTTTTTGTCCATAGTTTAATTTAGTCAATCTGTTTTTGCAGCGCTTCCCCAAAAAATAAAAGGACACAAAGTTTAAATTTACATTTGATTACCACCGTTTTTGATAATATATTTGGATTAAATCATAAAAAGAAACATTCATTTTCTGAATAAAATACATTTCATAGGACTATATTATTCTTAAACATATTAATAAATTATTAATGTTAAAAATAAGTTGTTAATCTAATTCATTATCAATTTAATTGATTAGACATGTTTTATTGAAATTTTAATAAACATTCATTATCAATTTAATTGATTAGACATGTTTTATTGAAATTTTAATAAACAAAACAAACAAATGGTTTCAAGTTTGTTATAGTAAAAGCATTTGTTCAACCAAAAAAAACCCCCTGTTTTCATTCATTTAACTGTCATTTTAACTAATGAAAATAATAATAATAACCATAATTTAATAATACTGTTTATTTATTTAAAGGTGCTATATGTAACTTTTCTTCTAAAATGAATCCTTTTTTTATTGCCTGTGTGTGAAGGGGTTGTAATCACACATTACAATGATCCACTTGTCGGGTTTTGCTATTACCTCTGAAGGCCAGTATTCCTATTTCTATGTGAAGTCTCCGGGTCAGATTTACTGCGAAAGCCATCGGATGTGACGTGCATGCGCGCTCCCGAGCCTCTCTCCTTATTTACAGTCTATGCGACAGCACTGCAGCTGACGACATGGAGTCTGATAACACTAAACACGACCTGCCTCCAGCACAACACAAACTCCAACACAAATTCCGCAAAAATATAAAAAACAAAACAAAACAAAAATGTATCTGCTGAAGCTCGTCAGGCCAAATGTGAATCGGATCGACTTAGGACGAAAACACGGATCAACATCGGCAGAGCGTTTGAATTATGGAGAGACCTCCGCTATTTTTATTGTGATAAATTACAAGTTTTCAGATATGCTGAAATAATGTTAAACTATAATGAAATAGCAAGCTAAACTACAACATACATGAGATATGAAATGAATACAAAAGACTGTTCCAGGATAACAAAAAGTAGGTGCTTTAGGATGTAACTTTTATTTTATGTACTAGATCTGTACTAGATCTACTGTCTAACGTCACTCATCCCACTACTATCATATTGTTTATAATACACATTTCCAGACACGTTCAGTACAGTAATGTTACTTCCTACGATCTTACTGTTACACTGAAATTGTTCAGTCTAGTTTACTAACCGTTTTCGTTATCATATTATACATTCACCTATGTTGACATTGCTGATTGTGAAAGATACACGAATGGTTAGTGAAATGCCTTATGCTAGATAACACCACAAATGTAACGTAATCATGGTACGAGCATGGAGCATTAGTTCAACGTCAAGCTGATAAAAGTAGCCTATTATTGTAACGTTGCAGTGGGAGTTTACATTAGTTTCCAGCATGTTGTGTGATGCTTTCTCAGGTGTGTTGAAAGTTTCAGTGTGGCCGGTACCATAAGTGCTCGCTCTTGTGTTCGAGCACGAGCGCTCTTGTAAAAATTGGTTGCAATCTGAAACATCACCGATAGAGGCCGCTAAAAAATACATATAGCACCTTTAATAATTGATTAATACTGTAAACCGTGATATTTTCTGAGACGTTATCATACTGTGAAAATCTCATACCATTACAGCCCTACACGGGGGATTCCCCCACCCGCTGTAAAAAAAGTAACTCAGTAACTTTTACTCTGAGTAAATTTTAAATGAGCTACTTTTTACTTTTACTTGAGTAGATTTTTAGACCGGTACTTTTACTTGTACTTAAGTAAAATTTCATTGAAGTAGTAGTACTTTTACTTGAGTAGAATATTTTATTACTCTTTCCACCTCTGCTGGAGAGTGGGTCACAGGCTCACAAGGCACTAGAAAAGATTGTGCTTAACAAGAGATGGCTGAAAGGTGTGCACAGATATCTGCCTTTCAGGTAACTACAGTAACCACATGACTATTTCAATGTGAATTTTAGTCATATTTCCATGTAACAAAATAAAGTACATAATTAAACCGTTTTGAACTATCAATTAACTGTGTGTGTATATGTACCGTGTTGAGACTCGTTTCTATTATAATATATCCGACCCAGCTCCATGAAGACCTCTAGTCTGTGTTATAATTCTTCAGACATTATTTCCACAGATCTACCTGTCAACTGGAGTCCTTTCACAACCACATTCTGATGTATGCAAGCAAACGTTTCAGTTTCTCGCCATTGGTTTATGAGGCACGTACTCTCCTGGCAGCACTTGACTACAACCATCATAAAAACAGACCGCCAATGCTCAACAAAGAAGGCCAATTGATGTAAGATTACGAATAAATTATAAGTGCACACTATTCTTAAAAGCATATTTATCTGCTTTATCTGTGTATTATTTATTTGTAACATTTTAAATATAGTTATATATATATATATATATATATATATATATATATACATTACTCATTTTAGACTAAGGATTTTATTTCATGTTATATTTTTTATGTTTATTAGTGCATTCAAACTAAATACAACTTATATTGTAAATTTATGTTTTATAGCTTGCGTCGACAATACCAAAGAAAATCTGGGAGATGGACTTCTACACCATTAAAGAAGAGAAGAACTACAGCTACATCCCTGATCTACAGGCAGCCATTTTGAGAAAAAGACCTGATTCTGACAGGGGCTGTCCAAGGCGGAGGATTCTACGTCCTGATGACCCTCGAACACTTGGACTACTTCCAAGTGTTCAACCTCCAGCTGTAGACACCATTGTTGAGTCCCACGTCAGTAGAGGCCTAGGTATGACCAGTGACTACCGGAAAGTTTAAACTGTAAATACATTTCATTGAAACAAATTTGCCAGTAGACTGTAGAATAAGACTTGATCTATATTTTTACATTATATGAAATTATACTTTTATTAATGTATATTTAAATACAATTTTTTTTCCTCTTATAGGGCCCGGCACTACACATCCAGAGAACAACTGAGCAATTTGTTTTTTAGCAAATTATTTTTTTTTGAAGAGAAGACTTATGCTCTAAATGCATTTTATGTATTTTTTTCCTAAACATGACATGTAAATAAATATGACGCAAGTTTATTTGTTCAATTACAACACAAGTTTTTATTTTTATTGCAAAAATTAAATTACTTGTAAATCAAAATCACCTATGTCTGCAGCTCTAGATATTGATAAAGAAATTGAGAAAATAAATAAACATCAAACACAAATGAAAACAACAACAGTAAGGTGTCTTTATCAACTAAAGTTTATAAAATTGTTTCTATGAACCCAGTGTATCTTCCAAATGGGTCCGGGTATTTATCCCGTATTCTGGACACACAACAGCTGGGGATGACAACACGGTTTCCCGCACCATAATTCCACAAAACAAAATTTCTGTAAGCGGCATAGCGGTATTCCCGGTTGTCATCCCCAGGCAGCTGTGTGTCATGGAGAGCATAAATGTCATTTCTGAGCCGCCGTGATAATCTCAGTACATGTTCATCTAAAATATATAATGACATGTGGGGCAATATACTGACGCAGTTGGCCTCGCTCTTGCCACAACATTTATTCTCCAAGTCGGATCCCATTTCCCTGCATCTTGAGCAGCTGCACCATCAAGGCACACCTGGTAATGGTACTTCTGTTCCCTGAGCAGCTGGCTGGAGCACATCGAAGATAAGGCCAGGCTCTCTATCCATGACTCTGATCAGGAGTGAACGAGCGTTTTCTGGATCCATATTCCGGATCTGCTCCTGAAAATAACAATGTTAAGAATTTAACAAATGTAACCCTGACTATAAGAATAATCACAAAATTATTATCTTTTTCACATTCTTGTCTCTATTATTATTTATATTTTTTTTATTTCATTGATAAAAGGAAGTTTAATCTTATCCTGAGACTTGGAGTCTTCCCTAAGATACCTGCGTCTGGGACTTTCTTTCCTCTTGCAGCCTCTGCACCCTCACTCTGTCCTCTTCAGAGATTCCAACTGCTGCTCTAGTCCCTCTTCCTCTAGCTGCCTGTCTACCCCTGGTTGCACTGATGTGTCCTGCAGTACTTTCCGCTCTTGTCGTCCCTCTCCTTCTACCTACAGTCCTTCCTCTTGGTGCTTCGATCACTACAGCAGCTCCAATCACTCCTGCTTCGCCGATGACTTCGACGGCTCCACTTGTTTCTGCTCCACTGCTTGCTCTTGCTTTTCCCTTTCCCCTACCTACCGGTCGTCCTCTCCCACTTACTCCAGCTGCTCTACTTGCCCTTCCTGTCCCTTTCCTACTTTCTCTTGCAGTTACTCTTCCAAATAACAAGTCTTTCTTTCCATGCTTGGGACTCCACGACTCATCGCTAATATCTAATGATGCTATTGAGGCGTCCGGTGAGGAGCCATCTGTCTCTCCCTGCAATATATTCACATGTTGACAGGAAAACAAACATTATTTTTAGATGTGATCTCATACCCCATACTTGAGTAAAAAAATGTAATTAATTGTTTTTTGTCTATGTAAAATTCTTATTTATAAATGATATTGTATTATATTTTTAATTTATTTCTTGCTTCATATGGGTTGTTGACTATTCTTTTATTCTAAATACCTACATATTGCTTGTTCTTTGTCTTTGCTAAAGTTGGATTTAATATAATACTTTGTTTGTAATTGTCAATTATTACTACAAAATTCAATTCAGATTCACAAAAAAACTATTGAGATACAGAAGGGACATGATCAGTTCACCATAGGTCTTTTTTTAATTTGATAATTACAAAATAAATGTTTAACATTATAATTCGATAAGTACAAACCCATAGCAATAGTCTTATGCTGTGTTCACAACGAACGTGAATTTAATTATTTGCGCGAGTAGATTACATACAAAGTCAATGTAAAGGCGCGAATAGACGCATCATTCACGCCGGGCGTCGCGTGTGCCGCGAATGTCTTCCGCGCAAGTTGAAAAATTTGAACTAGCGCGAATGTTCAAGCGCCTAACTAGACGCGATAGACGCGTATTTGACGCTCTATTCGCGTTCGGTGTGAACACACCATTATGGTCACATAAGATGCATATAAGTCACTCAACTAATAGGTATGTTGACATAGCGACCACACGCACAACATTCTGTCTCACACATTAGCTAACGTTACTGATAAGTTTGTTAACTAACTGTAGCTCGCGGCTATTTCATTAGATTGACATTATATAAAGTGAAAAGCCGTAACTAAACGTAACAACAATAGAGATGTAATATAACAATACATTACCTCGTCAGTGAACATGTTTTCTGCTGGAGATGCCAGATTCGCTGCTTGACAGTGACAATGACAACAACTCCCATGAGACCACGCACTTTCCCGACGTCATCAAAGTACGTCTTTTGTTATTATTTTGATTGAGTGACCCCTGGTGGCCAAAAGTTCCATATTGCGCCTTTAAGTCAAGTCAAGTCTTTTAAAATGAATGCGCTGTCGATTTCTTTTACAACAGACGCGATAGCGGAATCTATACATCTCAATTCTCCAGCTGCAGTCATCTTTGAGGGAAACCAGTTCAACCCAAGCGCTCTTTGATAAAGTGATGATTACGTAACTGCAGATCATCTGCCCATCATCGTATAAAGCCCACCCTGGCAATTTGATTGGCCCGACGATTTCTGAACCGACCAATAAATGTTGTGGGCGGGGTTCGGGCTGGCATCCAGGCTACTAAATTGCTTGAGAATTTTAGGAATTTGTAAAGTTCAAATACTGTTGTTTTTGAAACTGTTATGGTGCGTTCACACCGGATGCGAATAGCGCGTCAGGCGCGAGTGATTTCAATGTTAAGTCAATGCAAAGACGCGTTATGCGCATAAAAAATTCCTGCGGCGCGAATGAGGCGTAGAGCGCGGCGCGGTAGACGCGCGAATTAAGCGTCTGGCGCGTTAAGCGCGAATGATTTAGTTAGTGCTATTTGTGCATTCATGCTTTTGACGCGAATTCGCGTCTGCCGCCCGAGTTGAAAAATCTGAACTTCTGCGTCAATTCGCGCCGCGTTAACCAATCAGGAGCCTGCTTGCTTCACGTGGCATAAAGTGACATAGCATAACAAACTCCCGCTCGAAAGTCATTCATTCCAAATGGAGGAGAAACTCATTTTAGCTGTAAGTGGTCACCCGGAGTTATTTGACTCAAGTTCATACTTTTATAGAGACAGGAACAAAAAGGACCTCGCTTGGAATAAGATTAGTGAGGAGATTGTACAACCTGGTAAGTTGTAAGATATACAAATTTCACTTTTAAGTCACGTTATTGACCTAACGTTACTAATCAGTTAGCAAGCTGCCGTGCTGCTAGTTTACAACTATTTTCCCGCAAATATACAACTACTTTTCACTAACAAGACATTGTGTTTATTCAGAGGATGTCTGCCGTAAAAAGTGGAAAACCCTCAGGGACACGTACCTGAAGGAGAAGAGGAAGAAGATGGAGAAGAGGAGTGGTTCAGCAGCAGGGTCTGGGAAGAGGTGGAAGTTTTCTCAGATCTTGGGATTCCTCGGCCCGGATCGGAGAGGACAACCACCTTGAGGACCAGGGACACCCCGAACAATCAGGGGAGACACTGACAGGTGTGTTTCTAATATAGACACATTACAAGGCATATACTGTATGTTGTCATGTTTACAGATGAAAAAATGTAATCTCTCTGAGTGTTGTTACCAACGTGTCGTATTAACATTTAATATTGTCTTGACAGAGCCATATCAGAGTGAGGATGGTCAAATAACCCCCTCTTCTGCTCCTGTCTCCCCAGTCCCTGGTCCCTCAGCCCCTGCTGCTGAACCTACAGGTGTGTGAAGGCAATAGTACAAACAATATTTCAACATGTTACATGCACGTTTTTTGTGAATGCAGACACAAATCCATTGCAGTCTATGATACCAATCATCTGCATACATTTTAACTACTGTTCATTTGAATGTTTATATATGTATATGTCTGAAGTATAACTTTAATTACTTAATTTATTTATTTATATAGCGCCTTTAACCCTCTGGGGTCGGCGGTCTCGCCGGCGATACCAGCTCACTTTTTTCCTTATCAGTGCAAAAGAGACTCAAATTACTCTGTTGATTTTGATCTTACATATAAGTGTTGTACATCATTCGATCCTGTTAAGTTTGTTTTTATTGTGAGGTTCCACAAAAAAAATACAAAGTGTTGTGCTTTTCGCCTAATAAAGAAAAATAAACATGATGTGCGTTCTGCGTTCTCTCTGTCAGTGAAGTCCATTCTGAAACGCGTCCGAAAACTGTAACTCTGCAAATACTCAGTCAAACAGTTATACAGGCACACAGGCATGAAGCCTGAATTATCTTCTTTTAAATGAAGTAATTTATATAAAAAACAAATTTTCTCATTTTATCTGTACGAAAAAGAGAGAGATGATAGTCGTTCTCGTCTCAGGTCATTAAAGTTAATTTGACCACGCCCACGGAGCGCACGCTCTATTCAAACACAAATGCTCTGAGGCGATCCACGCCCACATCAGCTGGATAACCCACCGAAAGAGACTCATATTTACGACGCTGTGAGGAATAATACTATCTTAATAATAATCCTGGGAAAAATTACCTCAGAAGTGCAGGTAGTTTCATTTGGAGGAGCAACGGATCCAGCTGAGGAATAGGTACATTCTTTATTTTCAAGTGCTTTGTTCTAATCGCAATATGAAATAGTGTCAGTAAACAAAAAGACTGTTTGAATATGAATCGCATTTTTGTGTGTGAATGAATGAACAGCTTTTACCTAACTATATTCCAATACTGAGATGAGTAAAAATCGACTGAAATATGTTGAAATAAAATATTTTTGTATAAGCAACGTATTAAACTGCAAATTAACATTTATATGTCCTAATCATAAAAACGATATGTTACATATGAAAGACAAGATGTCGTTTTTACTGTAAAATACTGCCACATCAAATAAGCTTGTTTGCTAAGATGTTATTAGTGTTTGTTCGATTGTAGGCTATATTCAAACTAATTAATCCGCAACTGTGAAATATGTATGATAAAATGTATACTTTAGTATAATACAAAGAAAGATTACATTTGAAATATAGTTAAAATTTTAATTGTTGTTGTAATTGTAACCTTTTTATAAAAATAGCAAAAATATATGTAGGCTACATATAAATAAATCTTAGGTAAATCTTAAAAGCTCAATATAAGCCTCCTCTTTAAATTATTTG